ATTATTCCCTCACCCACAGCTCCTGTCCGTGCCACCCCACACAAACAACACTGGTGAGCATTTCTGCTCCTGCACTGGGAGGATGGCTCTGTACAATCCCAATTATGGTCAGTGAGATTTTAAAAAAGGCAAATTAATCACTTCTGCAGGCTGAATCACCACCTTGAGGTGCTTCTCTGCAGGAGAAAACACAAAGAAACTCAGCCAGTGAAAAATCAACAGCCATGGGAAGCAAAAGGAAAAAAAACTGTAAGAGCAAGATGGGGCCAGGGCTTGCAGCTCCCCAGTCCTGCTAACGTGGATTTCTCCCTTCCTATACCAAAATCCTTCCCTTCTCTTTGGGAAGTGGAATGTAGAACTTCTCCTGGGCTCCTCAGCACCATCCCTGAAGCAGCAGAGTTCATCCTGCCCTGGCAGGAACTGGGGAACCTGGGAAGAAACCCAAGATCAGGAATCATCCCAAGTCCTGCCTGACCTGGCAGAGCTCCCAGGGATGCCTTGAAAAGGCTGGCCTGGAACAGAGGATGGATGGGGCTAAAGAATAAAGTAGGGATTTTTTAAAATGATCTCCTCAATGGATCCACCTTGGGCAGCTCACACTGAGACACACATTCAACACTGAAGCTGTGATACAGAGGCAAAATTAATTTTAAGAAACTGAAAAGATAATTTTAGAAGGAACAGAGACTCAATTTCCACTGAAAAAAATATGAAGGCTATAAAAGCACATTTTTCACAGCTGTTTTCTATACCAAACCCTACAGAAACAGTGAGATTTTAAAAACACATTTCTTGTACAGCAGATTGAAGTTTTGATTTTTGACCAAGACAGAAGCAGAGGAGAGTGCGCAGCCAGGGTTCCCCTGTGCTGAACTCCTGCTGCTGCTGAGCCAGGAGCAGCCTGGGCTGAATTCCACCCTCCATGGGCCAGAACCAAGGGCAGGCACAGGCCAGACCTGTGCTCTTGGCTCTCCTGGAAGTTATTGAGACTGTGGGAAATGGAAAGGCAGAAACTTCCACACACACAGGAGGGTTTGATCTGCAGCCTTGGAGAAGCCTGGATTGATGTAAAAATACAATACACAGACATTAAGCAGAAAAATAATAAATTTATGTTTCTATAGTTGTAAGGAAGAGTATGCCTTAAGTAAGTGAGAAACTGCATTGATAAAATGGTGGAGGGTTTATAGTGTAGTAATGTAGTTGTACAGAGCAAGTTAAGAGTTTAGATGTTACAATAGAAGCATTTGTGTGTTATGTGTGATAATAGCCCATTGGATAACAGTATCTGCAGTGCAGTAGAAGTGAGTAAAGGTGATAGGTTAGAAAAGCAAAATAAACCCAGTGGCAACTGTCCATTGGATCAGAAGGTTCTATATTGCCTTGTAACGAAGAACTTGTGACTGCTTTGAGCTATGGCTGACTGCTTGCTCCTCTAAAACCTCACAGCCTCTGAGACTGATGTTTATCTGAGCAGTAAATCATAGCCCCAAAATAGTCCCACCCCTTTAATTAATGCAGTGATAATAAAAAAGACGAAATTAAACTAGAAGCCCACAGCACCATTCAGCAGCATCACTTTAGCAGAGCTCTTTGCTTTGCCCACCTCCAGAGGGTGATCTGGTGCCAGGCACAGCCCAGAGCCACAGGGTACAGCCAAGTCTCCATCTGCTGATGGGGGGCAGCAACACTTCAAGGTTGATGGGCTTGGTTTGGTTTTGCAGAAATTTTCTGCATGTTTGCCCAATATGAATATCTCAGGTTTCCTTGGCTGACCAGGGAAGCCTTGCAGTCAAAAGCAAAAAATGCTTCAAGGAGAGTTACAGAAGTGAGAGGATATTTAAAATTTCTTGTGCAACTCCAGGGCACACAGGGAATATTGCTGTGTCTGCTCTGGGTGCCCTGACCCCCAGGGCAGCACTGACTCTGACCCTCATTCATGGAGAAAGTTTCCCACACTTCAAGACAGACTGGAACCCACAAAAGTGTGAAATAGATTATAGAGAGCAGTGCAGGTGCATCACTGGGTGAGAAATTGAGGGTTTGGGGTTTTTAGTCTGTTGTGGATGGCAGCAAGATGGAGGGCACAGGGTGCTGTCCTGGGTTTCTTCTTCAGCTTCTTCTTCCTCCTTCTCCATGGGTTTGGGTGGCATTTTGTAATTGGGCAGGAAAGTCTGCACTGTGGGCTCTGTGGGATCAGTTATTGGGTTAAAAGGGAAAATAATCCAGGTGTCAGTTCTTAACTGGATAGTTTAGTCTTAGGAGACCTTGTACCAAGAGATTGTTGGCCATTTTGTGCCTTCTAATGAAAAGATGCTGAACTCACACCAGTGAGACTATTTTACTGATAAGAAATAATAAACACCTAAGTCCCAACATGAAACTGCTGTCCAGCTAGAACACACCAGTAAAACATTTGTCCTCTCTGGCCTTATCTGAAGGAAGAGGTGGTTGGGTTTCCTTTTCTGGAATTGATGGAAATCAATAGAACCAAAGGGAGCTTTTGGCTTTCCTTGAGGTGCTCCACAGGCAAGGCCTCACCCACCTCCTCCTCAGGTGTTCCTGGCATGGGGGGACAGGAGGGCTCAGGGGGGCTCGGAGGAGCTGGGATTTGTGTGGGGCTGCAGAGCTGGGATTTGTGTGGGGATGGAGAACTGGGATTGGTGTGGGGATGCAGGGCTTGGATTTGTGTGGGGATGGAGAACTGGGATTGGTGTAGGGATGGACAGCTGGGATTTGTGTGGGGATGCAGAGCCCTGGCAGCTGGTGCTGGTGCCTTGCAGTGCCTCTCCTCAGGAGCCTCACAAACCAAACCAAGCACACAATATGGAAATTCAGCCCCTCTCTGGTCTGCAGCCCTGCTCCCACCCCAGTCCAGCTGTCTGGACTTCATCACACAGCCTGGGTGAAGTTTTATACCAAGGCATGACAGACTCTCAAGAAATCCACACCAATGAAATGTGGAGTGCAAAATTCTTATCAGCTGCATGAGATACAATGGAAGAAGATAAATGTGAGCTTTGTCTGAGATGGCTGTGAATGAATCTGAGCTACTGATGCCTGTGGGTGGCTCTGAGTGAAACATTCCCTTCTTGCTAATGGAAATATTTTGATTAACAACTTTATTTGCCTAGCAGCAAATGCCACTTTTTTTCCTTTTAAATCACAGACAAGTGTCATAAAATATTTCATTTGCACATTAACAAGATATTTATAAAGTACTTGATATTTGAGTTCCCTCAGCAGGCAATTACAGATATGTTCTATTTTTTGAACAGTTTTGGTTGGGTATTTTAATTAGTCTCAAGGTGACTTCCAACACTCAAATACATCCTGAGGGATTCCCCATAAAACTGCTTGTAATAATGAGTTCCTTGTGCTTACTGCAGCACTTCTGAGAGCAGGCATGACACAGCAGCCACTGAAAGCTCTGGTTTTCCAAGCACACAGACAACAGCAAAGCAGGCCAACACAGTTTCATGCAGTGGGATTTACTCTCAGGTTTGTGAGCCCCAAGCCCAGAGGAGGAGCCTGCTGTAAATCACTTTAATTCAGGTGCTGCCTCCTGCCATGGATCCAGGGAAGGGATTCCCTCAGCCCCAGTGCTGTGGGTGCAAGCACATCCATCCTGCAGGACTGGGCACAGGCTCTGGGAGCTGCTGCCTCTGCTCACACCAGGCTCATTCCCTTCCTTGCCTCCTGCCCAGGGCACTCCCGTTAAAATCCGGGGTTTGCAGGGAGCTGGAGGGGGCTGTGGTAGGTGCTGAGTGCTTGTGCTGGTCCTGCTGATGCCTTGGGATTTCAGCTTGTGTGTTCTTCATGTATTTGTAATCCTGCAGTTCTTTAGTGTATAACTCTTTATGCTCTTCCCAGGGAGGTGGTGGAATCACCATCTCTGGATGTGTTTACAAAAGGCTGGCCATGGCGCTGGGTGCTATAGTCTGGTTGAGGTGTTGGGGCACAGATTGGACTCACTGATCTTAGAGGTCTCTTCCAACCTCATTATTCTGTGATTCTGTGATTCTAAACTCCACACACAGTGTGAGCTGCTGCTTTCCCATTTTGGGCAGACACAACAATTCCTCTCCAGGCCTGGCAATCAAGGACACCTCACTGCCTCAGGCCTGAGAGATGGAAACCAGAGTGAGTTGTGGAGAGCAAACTTAGGGTACATGGCTTCATTACCTGAAGCTGGAATTGAAGATTCATCCCCAATATGCAAATGGCCCAAACTTATAAAAGTGTGTAAACCTGTGACCCATCATCCATTTTTGGGTGTAGCCCCTGGGGGGCTTTGTCTGCCCTAAATGTACCTGAAGGCCCTTCCATAAATAGAACTGCTTTTTATTCCCTTAATTCTGTCTGGCCTCTGTTTTTAGGTAGCCCCAAAAGGCATCACAGCCCAGCTGTCAGGGACACACTCAGCACTCACCACCCACCCCTGCCCTTAGTGCAGCCACCCTAGGAGCTCCCAGGTGTGGGAAATAGTAAGGGTAAGAAGATTTTCAGAAAAAAAAAAAGGGAAAGAAAACCTTAGAAACAGCAGAGGAACTTAGAATCAGCTGTAGCTGCAAAGTCTGGAGGTAGAAAAAGTTACAATGGTACATTAAGCAAGGATATAAAACAGTAGCTTGGGTCTTAGGCTTTGCTAAGATGGACCTTAAGACTGCAGGAAAATGTGCTTAGCAAGATGGTAGAAGGTTTTAAGCTTAATAATGTTGTATTTTATATTGTTAATAGAAAGCAGACAAGCAAACATTGTGTGAAGCAGGTGTACATGTGCTTTTAGTAATTAGCTAGAAGAAGTGTCTGTAGCTTTAGCAATGTGCCATTGGCTAGAAAGCTTTTAAGATGCTCTGTATCAAAGCCACCTTTGGCTGCTGCTGGCTGTACCTGAGCTTTGCCATCCTCCCCCCGTCTCAGCCACATCCCGAGGCTGATGCCGCAGTAAAGCTCGAGGAAGGTTCCCCAGCAGTGCTGCCCTGTTTGTGCGATACCCAATGGACACAGCAGCACCCTCCCCGTGCCCGTGCCAGCAGGGTGACCCTGGCTGTGCTCTGTCCCAGGTGAGCAGCCTGCCCCGCGGGCCGGGCCGGGGCCGGGAGCAGCGCGTCCTGCTCATGGTGATGGTGATGGTGCTGTGCTTCCTCCTCTGCTGGCTGCCCTACGCAGCTGTGGCACTGCTGGCCACCTTCGGGCAGCCTGGCCTCATCAGCCCGGCAGCCAGCATCGTCCCAGCCATCCTTGCCAAGAGCAGCACTGTCTACAACCCCATCATCTACGTGTTCCTGAACAAACAGGTCAGTGAAATGCTTCCCTTCCCTTCCCTTCCCTTCCCTTCCCTTCCCTTCCGATTCCATCTGTACAAGGAGGGACAAAATAGCGAGGGGAGATTGGCACTGTCATGTTTTATAAAAAACCTTCACCAGGATTTTCTCCTGAGAAGCCTCAGAAAAGAAATATAAACAATATTATCTGATTGCTTGGGATGTGGTATGGAAGTTGCTCACCAACAGGTGCATCTTTGATTGGTTCCATGTGAATTGTTTTTAATTAATGGCCAATCCCAGTCCAACTGTGTCAGGACTCTGGTCAGTCATGGGTTTTTATTATTTGTTCTTGTCTAACCTTCTGATGTCTCCTTTCTCTTTGTTTAGTATAGTTTTAGTATATCATAATATACTAATATATATTAATATAATATAATATAATTAATATAATCTCAGTCTTCTGAGAACTTGGAGTCAATTCTCATCTCTCACCTCATCCTGGGACCCACAACACCACAACAATTAATAACCACAGGAGATAAAGAGAGCATCAGTGACATCACCCAGATCCATGAGAGGGAAGCTTGGAAAAAGGGCTCCAAGGAGCAAATCTATTCAACAAATCTGCATTTTTGGCAGTTGGACAAGCAGCTCCCCACATGTACAAATAGCAAATGATTGTTTGGTCCTTCCGTTCCATTGCCCAGTTCACCAAAAAGAGAAGAAATCCATGTTCTGGCAAGAGTGGAAGCACCAGAAATTGTTTGAGGTGACTCATATGTGAAGTGTTGTGAGGATGTGAGCCCTTGCTGTCCCACACCCAGCCCAGCCCAGTACATTGCCCACAGCAACTCCTCCTCCTCACATCATTAGCTCTCTGATTTACTCCTGATTTACTCTTTAACTCCCCTGAAATCCTTCAGCCACTCTTTGTCCTGCTCTCCCCTCCAGGAGCTGGTGAGGATCTGCAGTGCCAGAGGAGCTGGGCTGGCCCCTGGCACAGGGACTGACAATAAAACTGAAGATGAGCAGAGATCTGCAGAGAAAACCAGAGAGCACCAGAGCTCCTCCAATCCCTCGGGCAGCTCCAGGTCCACCAGCCCATTGCACTGATCTCTGCAGTGCTGGGATTACATCAGATGGATCATTTGTTTCCCTGGGTCCAGCAAATTCTCCACTTGAAATGGTTTTTGGAAGCTGTTAGGAAGCACAGACAGTAAATTGCTTGCTCTCTCTCAGAAACAAATGATGATGGTAAAAGATTGATTTAAGTCTGGCTTGAATTAGCTGTGGGTGTTTTTCCTGTGACGTGAGAAATTGCCAGGGAGTCAAAGTTTCCATGACAGCATCCATCATCCCCACAGCATCCACCAGCTCCACTCAGTGCCACAAACAGCCCAGGGGGTGCAGAATTCCCTGACACCTTCCCTGGGATAGGAGCCCTTCTTTCCCTTCTCCTCCATAATTTAGCTCTTGAATAAGGTCCCTGATGAAACCCCTGCAGTGTTGGGGAGCTGCTGCCATCCCCTGCCAGGGAAAGCCCAGCACACAGAGGGTAATTCTGCCTCACCCCAAACATCCCCAGCCCTGCTCACCCCAGAGAGGCAGCTCAGAGCCCCCAGACTGATCTGAACGTGTGCATGGCTGCAAAGAGCCCTCCAAAACACAGACTGTGTGCAGGAGTCTTCTACAGGCAATTCTAAATTAATCTTTTTACTAAATAGCTTGCTGACACAAACAGCAGCTAGACACAAATTAAACTGGGTTTGTCCATGTCAGACTCCTGAAGTTCACCATAAACTTTTACTCCAGGTGCTCCACACGTGCTTCATTTTGTTTGTGGAGGGGGTTTTATGGTGGATTTTTAAATTTTTCTTAAATTCCACTTGGTTTGCATTGCTCAGTTGGTATTTAGCAGCAATCAGTGCTCAGGGTTCTATACTCAGTGCAGAATGAGAAGTCAATAGTTTGGGTTTGCCTGCACTCAGGAGGGAACCTCAGGCCAGAAGATGCTGCAGCCACCCAGGAGTGCCAGGCATGGGAGAGCAGGAGCTGTTGTTGTGGTGTTAATTAATTGTTGTGGTGTTTCAGGTCACCCAGAAAACCACATTCAACACCATCAGCATTCCTGAGGCTGAGGGAACCTGGAGGAGATGCCTTGACAGCTCCCACAGCTGACTCTGCCCTCTGATTCTGGGCTATTCCTAAAAGAGTTCTGTGCCCAGGCTTCACCCCTGCTCTGGTCAATGCTCAGAAATCTGGATAAAATCTGAGATCAGGCCAGATAAAATAACATTCACATGCAGGAAATGCATCCAGGCAAGGACCAGGTGAAGGTTAAGCAGATTGAGGAGACTCTCCAGTGAAACAGGAATTCACTGGGGATTAAACAGCTGCAGAAAGGTACCTGGGAAGGGCCATGTGAGCTTGACCATGAGGGGAACAAAAAATAGAAAATGTCTGTGTACTGCCCATGAGTTTTGAAGCTGCTTAATATTCCAATGCTGTGGTGAGAGGCTGATGGAAAAAATCTGATTATTACAAAGTTTTTAATCCTGAGAAAATGCAGTTTCTCATTGAAAAAAAGAAACCACAGCTGATGAAAAAATTGTGTAAAACTTTAAAAAAAGCCACTTTCCCCAGCAAGCAAGGCTGCTGATGAAAAACCAGCATGATTTTTCTCTTGGCTGTTGATAACAAGAGTTGTCAGAGCTTGTTGCTAGAAGCTGTGTTGTAAAAGAATTACCAGTAATGTTGTTTTGGACTCTTGAGTGTAGAGATCAGTTACCAGCCTTTGACCCTGCAGCCTTGAGGACGCCATGCACACAATCCACACCACCTAAAATCCCCATTTTTTCAGCTACAGGCAGTTTCCTTGTCCTCATGCTTTGCACATTCCCTCTGCTCTCAGATCCACAGAATATTCTGCCATACAACTGAAAAAATCCCTCCAGTTGTGGATATTGAACCAGCCCCTCCTGAGAGCTTAAACATCTCATCTTTTCCCTGGTCAGACCCAAACCAAAGCAGCCAGCAGTTTGATTGGTAACTCAATTAATTCAATCCACTCCACACACTGAGCAATGGGATGTATCCATACCCTGATGGAGGTAGCAGGAGTGACTCTCAGCTCCCCAAAATCCCTGTGCACAGCAGGGTTTGCAGCAGGTGACAGATCCTACAAGGAGAAGTTTTAGTCCCTTCTATTCTCTGCATTGCCACCAAGTCAGTAATATCTGTGATCAATAAAACACAGGACAGCTGCTGGAGGCCTGTGACCTGTCCCAGAACTTTGTTCAAGGCTCTCTCCCCTCTGTGCTGCTCTGTTGAGCTCAAGGACATGTGTGACATTCACATTCTCTGGAGAGAGACACACACAATTCTCTCTCCCAGGATTTTCCTAGAAAAACACACAGAGAAGAAGAGAAAACAATTCCTACCTTTATTCTCTGCTCCTGTTGTTGTTGCACATGTGGAGTGTGTTATGGAGATTGTTCACCTGAAGGGATTTGTCACTTGGGTTCTGCTGAGGATTGTTTTGTTTCCTTGGCCAGTTGGCTCAATGTGACTGTGTTCACAGGGGTTCTTGGATTGGGGAAGAGATGAGGATCTGACTCTGTGTTTCAGAAGGCTGATTTATTATTTTATGATATATATTACATTAAAACTATACTAAAAGAATAGAAGAAAGGATTTCCTCAGAAGTCTAGCTAGGAATAGAAAAGAAAGGAATGATAACAAAGGCTTGTGTCTTGGACAAGAGAGTCTGAGCCAGCTGACTGTGATTGGCCATTAATTAGAAACAACCACATGAGACCAATCACAGATGCACCTGTTGCATTCCACAGCAGGAGATAACCATTGTTTACATTTTGTTCCTGAGGCCTCCCAGCTTCTCAGGAGGAAAAATCCTAAGGAAAGGGTTTTTCATGAAAGTTTTCTGTGACAGCTCAAAGCTGTGTCCAGGCTGTCTCAGTCACAGTTTTTTCTTTAGTCTCTTTTGTATAGTATAGTATCTCTTTAGTATAGTTATAATATAGCATTAATGTAATGTAGTATAGCTTAATAAAGCAATTGTTCAGCATTCTGAATCATGGAGTCAGATGCCAATCATTCCCTGCATCAAGGGCTCCCTGCATTCAATAGATATGTTTTATTTGACAAAACATTTCAACCTCCAATACAAAATATTGTCACACCCATGCTGTTCCAGAGCTATCCCAGGAACTTTATTAATACCAAATCATGAGATAAAGCCTGGCTTATAAAACCTGAGCAGAATTAAACTCCTGCTGACTGCTGTTCTTTTTGTGTGCCAGTTTTACAGGTGTTTTGTGGAGCTCCTGAGGTGCAACAAATCCCCCCAGAGCTCCTTGCCCAGGCTGAAACAGCAAGAACAAACCCCAGGTTCTGAAGAGCTTCTGCCAAAGCCCAGCCAAGCCCAAAGGAGAGATCCAGAGCTTGGTGCTGTAGGAGGGCTCCAAGAAACAAGCTGCATGTGAGGAGAGGGGCACAAGGCTCTCCAGGAGGGAATGGCCAGCCTGCAGATGGTCCCTCTCACCCTGGCTTGGATTAACTCCTCCAAAAAGTCTCATGTTGCTTTTCAAACAAACCTGAACAGATCATGATGAACTATGCAGTTACAGGGTAAAGCTCTACTGAAATTTAAAGTGCGTGTATTGGTTATGTTTCAAAGTTTAGAAATTGCAGCTGAAACTTAGGAAAATATGTATTTTAGGGACTTTTCTCTTAAATTGTCAGCTTACAAAGTTAGTGCAGCAAAAGATAACTTCCGCCAGCACTCAGTGAAGGAGCAGCTCTGAATGCTCAGCCCTCAGCTGGGCAGAGCTCCTGTCTCTGGAATCGCTGGAAATGCCACTTGTTGAGCATTAGGAACAAAGCAGAGTGTTCCTTTGAGCAAGGGGGCTCTGGGGGCACCTATGGGGCCAAGGGGAGCCAGGGAGGCTGAGAGTGCAGGGCAGCCCTGGGAGCGGAGCTGGGAAACAATTCTGCTGAAACAATTCTGCTGAAACAATGTCAGGAGCCAGGACATCCCTCTGGCTGTCCTGAGCAGCCCAGACCCCTGCCAGGGGGCTCAGAGACCCTGGCACAGAGCCCAAAACACTGTGGGTTTGATTATGGCCCATGGAGCAAATTACCAACCTTGGATGAAGATCTGCAAGTCATGGCAAATTAAGTAGAATAATAGTGAAGTTAACACAGGGTGAAAAAGTAGATTTTGGGGTTTTTGGTATGGGGGTTCAGGAGGCAAGATGGAGGGATCTGGGGGTGTCCAGCTTTTCTCCTTCTTCTTCTTGGCCTCCATCTTCTGCTGTGATGGTGGCACTGGCAGATTGGTTTAGAGTAGCAGCTCACTGTCTAACATAGGTGACAGGTATTGGGAAGTAATTGTAAACATTGTACACATCATTTTTAGTATAAAGACCTAACACTGCCCTGGGGGCAGGCAGAGTGCCTGGAACTGTCCTCCTGGATGGACCTGGGCAGGGCAGGAGAAAGAATTTTATAGATAAGGAATAATAAACAACCTTGAGACCGAGAAATGAAGAGCTCTGACTCCTTCTTCAAGCACCAGACTGGGAAAAGAGACTTTGGAACTTTTCTTGGGGTCACTGTGAGCAGATAGAGATCCCGACAAAACAATTCTGCTGGAACAATTCTGCTGAAACAACAATTCTCTTTCCGCCCAGAGCTGTCCCTGTTTCCCCCCAGGGAAGCTTCTGCAGGATCCTCCTCCTGGGCATTTTTGGGGAGGGAGGGACAGTGGTGCCTCCTACGAACAGAAAAGCATTGGGAAGCCCCAGAAAGGCAGCTGGAGGAAAAATTATAAACAAACAAAGAGGGAACAACCTTCTCCCTCATCAACTCTGAGCACAATCTCAATATTTTGACATATCTGAAAATATTTGACAATGTTTTCATCCCAGATTGGAAGAAAAACATGAAATGGCACCGTTCTGTGGAAAATTACTTTTCAAATTCCAAACTACATGGGAATGCCTTCTTTCAGAGGAGTTTCACACAGAAGCAAATCCACAGCCCTGCCAACACAGCTGTCAAAAACTTGTACCACAGTGCTGTAATTACCATCATTAGCCAGCACAGGGGTCTGGGGAGTGAACACTGTGCATATCATTACCAGGGTACCTGTTCCAAAAGGATATTTTTGATTTTTCAGATGATCAAAGCTGTCTTTTTCTTCTAGGGATGTAGGTTTGTTTTTCTTTGCAATATTAACAAAATCTTCATTGTAGTCACAACATTATTTCACAACCTATTTCTTTTTTTATCCCTAAACCACAACTGTGCTAATAACCTAAATAACACCAAATGTTTTAAAATACAGAAGCAGAAGCCATGAATTGAGGTTTTTACTGAGGTGATATTAGTGGATGAAATAAAAGCAATAGATGCACTTACTGCTAAGCAATACTAATCAATTATTTATTCCCAAGCACATATTTTTAAAGAGTAGTTTGTTATTTTCAGATTAGAAAGCATGTCAGGAATTTTTCAGTTCATCTTTTCCCTTGATCTTGTCCCTAGGTGGATTGTTAAATTCCAGTATGAATTTGTGCATTAATAGCAGTATTGCAGCTCTGTGACTGGTGGGTTTTGTACATGTAAGGATTCATTCTTAGAGCATTAAATCTGGTGTTGGTAGGTGTTTTGGACACTTTAAATAATTCATGGTTTGTGATAAAAATGTGCGTTTTCAACACAAATTGTTGGTTTCTGTTCCATTCCCTGTAACCTGCTGCAAGCAGAGAGCAGCTTGTACCTGCCCTGCTTGGAAACATGCAGGATGTTGTAGCTGTAAATAAAAATAATCTCCTGTGGTACCTCCGCAGCCTCCTCTCATGAGCAGCTCAGCACCACAGCCCTCACCCATCCCCACATCTGGCACCAGGGGCAGCAGCTGCACCTGGCCTGGGCTGCCCAGCACCTCCTCTGGCCAAACTGCTGGGTAACACCCTTTAGGTGACAAGAAATTGATGAAAAACACACAGAAAAGGCCATGCACACAGCAACACAAGCAAAACAACACCAAAATCCCCAGATTTCAATTTACACTTTTACTTGAGAAGGAGGTACAGCTCTCATTTGTTTCAATGAGTGTTCAGCTCTCTAATTTCTGAGGTTTATGAGCAGCTTGTAATTTCATTTCAGCAGGCAGGTTTGCTGCCATTAAAAGAGATTATAATTTCGTAACCATTTATCTGGATTTTTGTTAAACCAAGCACTGTGGCTGTGTAACCAGCAGTATCACAGGGCGTTCAGCAAGCAGTCAAACCTTTCTTTACCTATTTTACAGCACCTTCAATATATAAAAATTGAGCTAAATGACTGAAATTCACCCCTTGCACTACTTTGCATCTTTTTTTTTTTTTTTTGTGCTAAGGAAAAGCTATTTGGCTTTGAATGAATGATCTCACTGAATGCAGACCCAATGCCCAGAGGACACCCCAAGGGAGACTTTGCTGAGTTTTCAGATACAAACACAAGAACTGGCTTTAGAGTCAAACAGAACTGATAGCAGCAAGGAAATGAACATTAAGAGTTCAAACAGCCCCATGTCCTTCAGAGCTCTCCCTTCCCAGCATCACCAAAGGAACAAAGGATGTTGAGGGCTCAGGCACCACTCTCAGCGAGGAGGGAGCCCTGCACACCCCATGGGGCTCATCAGATGTGAGATGTCACCAGATGTCACCTCCCAGAGGCACAGACCCCCTTGTACCCATCACAGGAAAAGCTTCCAAGAGCTCTTTCACTCTCTTCTTTTCTGCCTGGATTGTGGAGGCCCCATTCCAGGAGGGAATGAGGAAAAGTCCCTGCAGGCAATGGGAGCTTTCTCACCACTGTAAGAGCGCTTCAGGCCCACAGGCTGAAACTTCATTTAAAGCAAATCAGTTCTCAGTGCCCCTGTGCCTCACCTTGAATTGAACAGAAATACCAGCTCAGCTGTAGAAAGCCAAGGTCCCAGAATAGAAGAGAACAAGCCCAAGTCCTGCAGGAGAAGGGGGAACACCCTCTGGAGCTGCAGGGAGCTCATCCCAAGGAATTTGGGGTCTCTGGCATGTGGGGACAGCCAGCACACATTGTGGAGTTACCCTGCAGAGTTTCTGTCAGCTCTGGGGCCAGGACAGCCCCCAGCCAGGTAGGAAGCTGACACACAGGTTATTTTTACACAGCACAGGAGAGCTAAACTTAGTGTGATGAACAATGACTGCAGTTGATATAGTGACTGATTTTGCCTTCCACATGGGCTAGATGGCTTTTTCTCCCCTCATCCCTAGAGAATATTGCCCAAGAAAGTGGGCAACACCAGTCACACCACTGACAACTGGAATAACATCCCGCCCCCAGAAAGTGCTTTTGTGTTTATTGGGTTTCCCATCAAACTCCGAGCAAGTTCAATAACAGATTAATTAATTACACCAGAATGACACCAGTACTGTCACAGACATCTTTTGTGGAAAATCCTTTCCTTAGGATTTTTCCTCCTGAGAAGCTGGGAGGCCTCAGGAACAAAATGTAAACAATGGTTATCTGCTGCTGTGGAATGCAACAGGTGCATCTGTGATTGGTCTCATGTGGTTGTTTCTAATTAATGGCCAATCACAGTCAGCTGGCTCAGACAGAGAGCCAAGCCACAAACCTTTATCATTCCTTTTCTATTCTTAGCTAGCCTTCTGGTGAAATCCTTTCTTCTATTCTTTTAGTATAGTTTTAATGTAATATATATGATAAAATAATAAATCAGCCTTCTGAAACATGGAGTCAGATCCTCGTCTCTTCCCTCATCCTCAGACCCCTGTGAACACGGTCACACTCCGGTGATGAGGGTTCATGCAAGTGTCACCCTTCTGATCTAAATGCAGTCAAAATGCACCAAGTGCCAGCCACAAACACTTCAGCAGAAGTTGCTGTGATCCAAGGATAAAAACATCCTTAGAAAGGAGACCTGGGGGAATGAACAGAGAGGCTCCTGCTGCCCTGGCTCTCAATCAGCAGCTGGCACAGTTACACAACCCATAGTGATGAACAAGGGAGAAGGAATTTCAGCATCTGTTTAAAGAAATATGGAAAATAAATGAAGATTATTAAAGTCAAAGTGCATATAACCCTGTTCCATCACAAGAACTGGAAATACTTATACAAGCATTGGATGACCAATTACCTGCCTTTGCTTTGTTGAACTGCCTGAGTTTAACAATTCATTCCCATCAAACTGGAATTTGAGGAAACACAGGGAAAAGATCCTATCTTGTCCATCTCTATAACCCAAATATAGACAATAATTTGAGGTATTATTGCACAGTGCCTTCTATAGCAACCTCAGAGAGCACTCTGTTTCTTTGCCTTTATTCCTGCACATGGATGCTCAATCCTCACTGCAGAGGGGTTTGCTCTCAGGAAGAAACCTCTCCATGTGCACTACTGAGCAGAGAGGGATTTAACTCTCCCCTTAAGGCCCAAAGCAATGAATGCAGTCAGGCTGCAAGTTTTCCAGCAGAGCAGAAACCAGGTAGGAAACCACTGCACACTGAGTCAGTTGGGTGTGACACTGCCTTCTCCAGAACAAGCTGTCCCTGGTGAGGTGTCTGTGCTCTTCTCCAGCTTTTCAGGAGCACAGCAGCTGGAGGTTTGCAGCAGCCTGGCTTTCAAAAGGGGCAGATTTGGGGTACTGGAGTCTCTGTGACCCCAGCCCCACACACCTCCATACAAGCCTTTATTTGAAATATTTTGAGCAGTTCCCTCAGCATCAGTGTGGTCAGTCCAAGCTGAGAAGCTGCATTAGGTCTGCAGGATTCACCCTCTTCAGTGAGCTGTGCCTCTGAGGATAATAAATGAAAGACTTGGCTTCCTGGCTGGTCTCCCTGAGTGAAGTTCTCAGGCTTGCTCTACAGAAAAACTCCCTCTGGGCCTCAGAAGAGCCAACCAGTCTATAAACAGCCCATGAGAAACATCTTACAAGTTTAAAATTAGCAGGAAAACCATTGAGATCTCAAGTATGTTGCAGAAATAACAAAAACCCTTTGTGTGGGAGCCTGAGGGTGATCTGTGTACTCCATGGGGAGCCCTTTCCCCAGCAGGGCTCTGCTCTCCCCCAGCAGTGTCAAAGACACCTTTTATGAAAAATCCTTTCCTTAGGATTTTTCCTCCTGAGAAGCTGGGAGGCCTCAGAAACAAAATGTAAACAATGATTATCTGCTGCTGTGGAATGCAACA